AGTGATTCGGCTGCCTCAGCCTTCTGAGTAGCTGTGACTGCAGGTGCCTGCCACCATGCCCAGTTTTTTTTTTTGTTGTTTGTTTGTTTTCTGTTTTGTTTTCAGACAGAGTTTTACTCTCATTGCCCAGTTTGTGTTCAGTGGCAGTATTTGGCTCACTGCAGCCTCCGCCTCCCAGGTTCAAGTGATCCTGCTGCCTCAGCCTTCCAAATTGCTGGGATTACAGACATGGGCCACCATGCCCAGCTAATTTTGTATATTTCGTAGAAAACTGGATTTCTCCATCTTGGTCAGTCTGGTCTCGAACTCCCAACCTCAGGTGATCCACTTGACTCCCCCTCCCAAAGTGCTGGGTTAGAATAAGGTGTGAGCCACCAACGCTGACCAATATCTTATAATTAAAGCATAAATTGAAAACTGAGGCAGTTTTATCCACTAGAGGTCTGTAGTTCCAGGCCAGCCTGGCCATTATGGGGGGGGGTGAAATCCTGTCTCTACTATAATTACAGAAATTAGCAGGCATGGTGGCTGGTGCCTGGAATACCAAGGCTACTCAGTAGGCTGAGCCACAAGAGTCACTTGAGTCTGGGAGGCAGAGGTTGCATGAGCTGAAATCATGTCACTGTACTCCCACCTGGGTTACAGAGTGAGGACCCATTCTCACAAAAAAAACCCAAAAACTCAATTGGACTGTTTCTTCCCTGCTTCTTTTTTCCCATCACACTTACATTAAAAGATAAACTGCTTAACATACCCCACTTCCCCAAGGCCGCAGGTCCTGCCCAACCCGTCCTCCTTTACCCCTCCTCCCTCTCTCCCACTCCTTACTCTCCTCAAGCCACAGGGACCTCCTTGCTGTTCCTCCAACCTGCCAGAAATAGTCCTGCCCCAGAAACTTTACATGGTCTGTTCCCTCTGTCTAGAAAGTGATTAACCCCCCCAATACCTTTCTTCTCACACTGGTTACCCCTTATTATTAAGATCTTGAGCCAGGCTGGGCATGGGAGTAAATGCTGATAACCCCAGCAATTTCGCAGGCTGAGGTAAGGAGGATCATATGAGCCCAGAATTGTTGTGCTTTTGTTTTGTTGAGACAGAATCTTGCTCTGTCACCCAGGCAGGAGTTAAGTGAGTGACTTCAGCTAACTGAAACCTCCACCTTTCAGGTTCAAGCGATTCTACTCTACTGCCTCAGCCTTCTGAGTAGCTGGAACCACAGGTGCCTGCCAACCATGCCCATTATTTTTTTGTTTTTTGAGACAATGTTTTAACTTTTGTTGCCCAGTTTGGAGTTCAGTGGCATGATCTTGGCTCACTGCAAACTTTGCTTCCCAGGTTCAACTGATTACCGTGCCTCACCTTCCCAAATGGCTAAGATTACAGGCATACACCACCATGCCCAGCTAATTTTGTATATTTAATAGTAACGGGATTTCTCCATCTTGGTCAGGCTGGTCTGGAACTCACAACCTCAGGAGATCCACCTGCCTCAGCCTACCAAAGTGCTGGGATTAAAGCCATGAGCCACCAACCCCCGACCAATATCTTTTCATTAAAACCTAAATTGGAGGCAGAGACAGGTAGATGTCACTTGAGGTCAGTAGTTCCAGACCTGCCTGGCCATTATGGTGAAACCTTTTCTCTATTACAATTACAAAAGTTAGCTGGGCATGGTGGTGGGAGCCATAATACCAGCTACTCAGGAGGCTGAGCCACAAGAATCACTTGAATCTGGAGAGTGGAGGTTTGCAGTGAGCTGAGATCACACCTGTGCACTCCCACCTGAGTGACAGAATGAGACTCCTCAAAAAAAAACACCAAAAATTAAATTGGATTGTTTCTCCCCTGCTTCCTTATTTCCCAGCACACTTACATTAAAAGATAAACTGCTCAACTTCCCTCACCTCCCAAAGGCCTGCAGGCCCTGCCCAACAGGCCTTACTTCCCTCCTCCCTCCCCTCCTCCCTCTCTCTCCCCCCCCACCCTGCTCCAGCCAAAGGGACCTCTTTGCTGTTCCTGGCCAACAACTGACATTCCATGGCTCCATGAGCTCACTGCCCCACTTCAACCTGGGCCACCCACCAGGGGCTCTGCCTTGGTCTGGAAGCCCAGGGACCCCCTGCAGATGCACACAGATTACACAACACACACACACACACACACACCACACACATACACACACATGTGCTCGCGCAGTTATCCAAGAGTTTCAAGCAGCTCCTGAGGCTGAGGAGTTCTGCTCTCTCCTGGGAAGCTTCTCCGGGAGAGAGCAGCCCCAGGGCACACAGGCTGGTGGTACCTGGAAATCCCAGCAGGGACAGCTTTTAAGGAGACGCACCCCCCACAAGTGTCCTGAGCAGGCCTGAAGCACCGTGGGGATTCCTTGGGGATCGCCCTGCGCATCCCTGAAGCTCTCCGCTGCAGCTTTTCTCAGCCTGGTCCCGCCCTGCTGGACTCCTGAAATCGCGAGACCCTGGCGACGATCTCGGGGAGAGGGGCCATCGCCTAAGGTCCAGGCACTTCCACTGAAGGCCGCTGTTCTGCCAAGCCCCTGAGACGGCCGTTCCCCAGGCCACAGGGACTGTCCCTGTGATGCGAGCCGCGATGGACGCTAGCGCTTGTGATGCGCCACTTGCACATGCACATTGGCGTGCCTGGCTGGCCAGCGGCAACGTGGGCACTCTGTGGCAGGGGAGCCTCAGTGGCACCAGAAAATGCTGGTGGCGTGTCCCAGGCGGTTCCAGGGGAAGGAGGCTGCCTGCCACAAGCTGAGCAGGAGTCCCGACCGTCCTGACCTCAGTGGCTCCCTGAGCCGACTTTCCTGTTTGGGTCAGCTGGATGGGGAATGTTGCTTGATACCGTGAGGTGGGCACTAGGGTCTGCTCTTCCCACTGGATTCCGGATCGGATGGGTGGGCAGCGATTGGGTCCCGCGGGGTGGAGATTCAGTCTGGTGATGTGGGCGGGGGTCGGTGGACCTCAGAAAGATGACCTGAGACCCTCCGGGAGGGTCTGTCAGCAGAACGTTGCCGGCTCTATGAGCTCACTGCCCCGCTCTCGACCTGGTCCACCCACCAAGGGGCCCTGCCTTGGTCTCCAAACCCTGCTTCTCCAGCGCTGCTGGCCGAAAAGATGTGAACAAAGCACAAAGCGGCCTGCCCAGCCAGCCCGCAGAGGTGGCCACACCCGCAACTGGCCTCCCCCCGGGGGTGGATCTGATGGAGAGAGTATCTCAGCAAACTTTCTGGTGCAAAGCCCATCCCGTCCCGAGACGGGATGTCCAGTTATGCCGCTGAGGACCTTCACGGAAGCCAAGCACAACATGCTAACGGATCTTAGTCACTTTATTGTTTTCACGGAAAACATCATCATCTTGCTACAATGTGTTTTCCCCTCAAATTCTTTGACTGCCATGTACAGGGAGACCCGTTGTCACCTTGTCCTGTGGAGAGAAAAACAATTCCGGGTGCTTAAAAATGCAGATTCTCACTCTTATGTGCGTGCCCTCTGTCTAGAAAGTGCTTAGCCCACAATACCTTACTTCTCACACTGGTTACCACTTTCTATTAAACATCTTGGCCCAGTTGGGCATGGTGGCACTTTGCTTATAATTCCAGCAATTTCACAGGCTGAGGTAGGAGAATTACATGAGCCCAGAAGTGTTTGCTTTTGTTTTGCTTTTTGTTTTGTTTGAGACATAAGCTTGCTCTGCACCAAGACAGGAGTGCAGTGGTTGATTTCAGCCCACTGACACCTCCACTTTCCAGGTTCAAGAGATTCTCATGCCTCAGCTTTCTGAGTAGCTGAGACTACAGGTTCCTGCCATCATGCCTAGGTTTTTTTTTCAGACAGGGTTTTACTCTAGTTGCCAAAGTTGGTGTTCAGTGGCAGGGTCTAGTCTCACTGCAACCACCGCTTCCCATGTTCAAGCAATTCTACTGCCTCAGCCTAACAAATGACTGTGATTACAGGCATGCAACATCATGCCCAGATAATTTTGTATATTTAGTAGAAATGGGATTTCTCCATCTTAGGTTGGTCTCAAACTCCCAACCTCAGGTGATTCACCTGCCTCAGCCCACCCAAAGTGCTGGAATTACAGATGTGAGCCACCAACCCCGAACAATATTTTTTATTAAAATGTTAAATTGGAGGCTGGGACAGGTTTGATCAACTAGAGGTCAGAAATTATAGAACAGACTGGTCATGCTGATGCAATTCTGTCTTACGACAATTATAAAAATAGGCTGGGAATGGTGGCAGGTGCCTGTAATACCAGCTACTCAGGAGGCTGATCCTGAAGGGTCACTTGAATCTGGAAGGCAAAAGTTGCAGTGAGCCGAGATCACCACTGCACTCCCTCCTGGGTGCCAGAGTGAGACTTGATCTCAAAAAAAAAAAAAAAAAAAAAACTCAAATTGGGCAGTTTATTCCCTGCTTCCTGATTTTCTTTCACACCTACATTAAAGATAAACTTCTCAAAAAAACCGACTCAAGATGGCGCTCTGAGAACAACCCAGGATTGGAGCTCGCGTTGAATCCACAAACGGTGAGTTTAAAGCTGCATTTCCAGACTGATCTTTGTTGCCCACGAACGGGGAAACTCCCAAGTATAAAAAGACACGGGACGCCAGGCAGTAAGTCTGCGGCGGCCGGCCCTACCCAGCATCCCCACAGGGCGTGCTTGTCCTGGGTGCCTTGTTGAACCGGCCAACCTGAGACTTGAGAGGGCTGCACTTGAGACTGAACGAGACATGGACAGTAGCCAGCCCAGTGGATTGCAGGGACAGATCGTTTGGGATACCCAGTGTGACGAACGAAACCGCGATTTCAAACTATCCGAGCAGACGGTCCGAGATGCTCTGTGGGGGAGGACTGTCCACCACTACCGAGGCAACCCGCCCCAACTGAGAACACCCCACCGCTGACGCAGCCAGCGTTGCCGAGGCAACCCACCCCAACTGAGATACATGCCCACTGCTGATGCAGCCAGCCATTGCCGAGGCAACCTGTCCCTACTGAGATACACGCCCACTGCTGACGCAGCCTGCCATTGCTGAGGCAACATGCTACAACGAAGAGACTCCGCCGCAGGGCGTGGCGGAGACCACAGCAGAGCCTGCAGGAACAGGGCGAATCACACAACAGCAGGGCGGAGCCTTGGCAACCAAACAGTGGCTAGTCTGCCTTCTAGCTGAACAGGACACCTCATCGAACATCCAAAAATAAAGCCCAAACCCCTCAACACAGAGCATTTGAGAAAAAAAAAAGGGTTTTTTTTTTAATGAGCTCTGTTGCAGCAGAATCAAACATAGCAACCTAACAGCCCTGAAGAAACAGCAGAGCGCACAGCTCAGCAATTAAACCCCTATAAAGTACAAACTGTCTCCTCAAGCAGCTCCCAGACCCCTCTATATCCAAAAGACTGACATTAGGCAGGCATCATCCTGGGACAAAGAGAGCAGAAAAAGAAACTGGTAGCATCCCTCGCTGTGCCACAGCTGCTAGAGGTGCACCCCAGACAAGCAGGGTCTGGAGCGGACCTCAGCATTCATACAGAGAAGGGGCTAGACTGGTAGAAGAAAAACCAAGCAAAAGAAATACTTCATCATCAACATTCTAGGTGTCCACTCAGAGACCCATTGAAAAGTCAGCAACTACGCAGATGACCAGCGGACAAATCCACAAAGATGGAAGAAACCAGCGCAAAAAAGGAGGAAAACACCCGAAACCAGAACACCTCGCCGCCTAGAAAGGACCAAAAAACTCCTCACCAGCAAGGGAACAAAGCTGGACGGAGAAATGACTGTGACGAAATGACGGAATTAGACTTCAAAAGATGGATAATGAGAAACTTTTGTGAGCTAAAAGATCATGTATTAAATCAATGCAAAGAAACTAAGAACCTTGAAAAAAGATTTGACCCAAAAAAGATTTGAGGAAATGATAAGAAGAATGGATAACTTAGAGAGGAATATGAATGAATTAAAGGAGCTGAAAAACAATACGAGAACTTCGCGAAGCAAACACAAGTTTCAATAGCCGAATTGACCAAGCAGAAGAAAGAATATCTGAAGTTGAAGACCAACTCAATGAAATAGAATGAGAAACCAAGATCAAAAAAGAAAAAAGCGCAAAAAGGAATGAACAAAGTCTCCAAGAAATGTGGGACTATGTGAACAGACCTAACCTATGTTTGATAGGTGTACCAGAAGGAGAGGAAGAGAATGAATCCAAGCTGGAAAATACTCTCAGGAACATCATCCAGGAAAATTTTCCCACCTAGCAAGACAGGCCAACACTCAATTGCAGGAAATACAGAGAACACCACAAAGATATTCCGCAAGAAGAGCAACCCCAAGGCACATAATCGTCAGATTCAACAGGGTTGAAATAAAGGAGAGAATACTAAGGGCAGCCAGAGAGAAAGGTCGGGTCACCGACAAAGGGAAGCACATCAGACTCACAGCAGATCTCTCGGCAGAAACACTACAAGCCAGAAGAGAGTGGGGGCCAATATTCAATATTCTTAAAGAAAAGAACTTTCAACCCAGAATTTCATATCCAGCCAAACTGAGCTTCAGAAGTGAAGGAAAAATAAAATCCTTTGCAAACAAGCAAGTACTCAGAGATTTTGTCACCACCAGGCCTGCTTTACAAGAGCTCCTAAAGAGGCACTACACATAGAAAGGATCAACCAGTACCAGCCATTCCAAAATCACACTGAATGCTAAAGAGCTTCAACATAATGAAGAATCTACAACAACTAACAGCAAAACAGCCACTTAGCATCAAATGGCAGTATCAAATTCACACATAACAATATTAACCCTAAATGTAAATGGACTAAATGCACCAATCAAAAGACACAGACTGGCAAATTGGATAAAAATCCAAAACCCATCAGTGTGCTGTATCCAGGAAACCCATCTCACCTGCAAGGATACACAAAGGCTCAAAATAAAGGGATGGAGGAAGATTTACCAAGCTAATGGAAAGCAAAAAAAAAGCAGAGTTGCAATTCTCATCTCTGATAAAATAGACTTTAAAGCAACAAAGATCAAAAGAGACACAGAAGGACATTACATAATGGTAAAAGGATCGATACAACAAGAAGAGCTAACGATCCTAAACATATATGGACCCAATGCAGGAGCACCCAGATACATAAGGCAAGTTCTTAAGGACTTACAAAAGGACTTAGACTCCCACACAATAATAGTGGGAGACTTTAACACTCCACTGTCATACTAGACAGATCAACCAGACAGAAAATCAACAAGGGATATCCAGGGTTTGAACTCAGACCTGGAGCAAGCAAACCTGATAGATATTTACAGAACTCTCCACCCCAAATCCACAGAATACACATTCTTCTCAGCACCACATCACAGCTACTCAAAAATTGATCACATAATTGGAAGTAAAGCACTGCTCAACAAGTGCAAAACAACTGAAATCATAACAAACAGCCTCTCAGACCATAGTGCAATCAAGTTAGAAATCAGAATTCAGAAACCTACCCAGAACCGCACAGCTTCATGGAAACTGAACAACTGGCTCTTGAATGTTGACTGGGTAAACAACGAAATGAAGGCAGAAATAAAGAAGTTCTTTGAAACCAATGAGAACGAAGACACAACATGCCAGAACCTCTGGGACACATTTAAAGCAGTCTCTAGAGGAAAGTATATAGCAATAAGTGCCCATATGAGTAGAATGGAGAGATCCAAAATTGACACCCTATCGTCAAATTTGAAAAGATCAACCAAATAGACAGACCACTAGCCAGATTGATTAAAAATAAAAGAGAGAACAACCAAATAGATGCAATAAAAAATGATAAAGGGGAAACCACCACAGATTCCACAGAAATTCAAACCATCATCAGAGAATATTCCAAACAACTCTATGCACATAAACTAGTAAACCTGGAAGAAATGGATAAATTCCTGGACTCCTGCGTCCTCCCAAGCCTAAACCAGGAGGAAGCTGAAACTATGAATAGACCAATAACAAGGTCTGAAGTTGAGGCAGCAATTAAGAGCCTACCACACAAAAAAAGCCCAGGTCCAGACGGGTTCAAAGCCGAATTCTACCAGACACACAAGGAGGAGCTGGTACCATTCCTTCTAAAACTATTTCAAACAATCCAAAAAGAGGGAATCCTTCCCAAATCATTTTATGAGACCAACATCATCCTGATACCAAAACCCGGCAGAGACCCAACGAGAAAAGAAAACTTCAGGCCAATATCCATGATGAACATAGATGCAAAATCTTCAATAAAATATTGGCAAGCCGATTGCAACAGCAAATCAAAAAACTTATTCATCATGATCAAGTAGGATTCATCCCAGGGATGCAAGGCTGGTTCAACATTCGCAAGTCTATCAACGTAATTCACCACATAAACAGAACCAAAAACAAAAACCACATGATTATCTCAATTGACGCAGAGAAGGCATTTGACAAAATTCAACAGCCCTTTATGCTAAAACTCAATAAACTCGGTATCGATGGAACGTATCTCAAAGTAATAAAGCTATTTATGACAAACCAACAGCCAATATCATACTGAATGAGCAAAAACTGGAAGCATTCCCTTTGAAATCTGGCACTAGACAAGGATGCCCTCTCTCACTACTCCTATTCAATATAGTACTGGAAGTTCTAGCCAGAGCAATCAGGCAAGAAAAAGAAATAAAGGGTATTCAAATTGGAAATGTGGAAGCCAAATGGTCTCTATTTGCAGACGACATGATAGTATACTTAAAAGACCCCATCGCCTCAGCCCAAAAACTCCTGAAACTGATAAGCAACTTCATCAAAGTCTCAGGATATAAAATCAATGTGAAAAAATCACAAGCATTCGTCTACACCAACAACAGACTTAAAGAAAGCCAAATCAAGAGCGAACTGCCATTCGCGATTGCTACAAAAAGAATAAAATACCTTGGAATACAACTCACAAGGAACGTCAGAGACCTCTTCAAGGAGAACTACAAATCACTGCTCAAAGAAATCAGAGAGGACACAAACAGATGGAGAAACATTCTATGTTCATGGTTAGGAAGAATTAATATCGTGAAAATGGCTATACTGCCCAAAGTAATTTACAGAATCAACGCTATCCCCATCAAGCTACCACTGACTTTCTTCACAGAACTGGAAAAAACCACCATGAACTTCATATGGAAGCAAAAGAGAGCCCGCATAGCCAAGTCAATTCTAAGCAAAAAGAACACAGTGGGGGGCATCACACTACCGGATTTCAAACGATACTATAAGTCTACAGTAATCAAAACAGCATGGTACTGGTACCAAAACAGAGATATAGACCAATGGAACAAAACAGAGGCACCGGAGGCAACACAACATACATATAACTATACAATCTTTGATAAACCTGACAAAAACAAGCAATGGGGCAAGGATTCCATGTTTAACAAATGGTGTTGGGAAAACTGGCTAGCAATGTGCAGAAAGCAGAAACTGGACCCCCCTTCCTGACACCTTACACTAAAATTAACTCCAGATGGATTAAAGACTTAAACATAAGACCTGGCACCATGAAAACCCTAGAAGGAAATCTAGGCAAAACTATCCAGGACATAGGAGTAGGCAAGGACTTTATGAACAAAACACCAAAGCATTGGTAACAAAAGCCAAAATAGACAAATGGGACCTAATCAAACTCCACAGCTTCTGCACGGCAAAAGAAACAGTCACTAGAGTGGATCGGCAACCAACAGAATGGGAAAAAATTTTCGCAGTCTACCCATCTGACAAAGGGCTGATATCCAGAATTTACAAAGAACTCAAACAGATTACAGGAAAAAAACAAACAATCCCAATCAAAGTGGGCAAAGGATATGAACAGATACTTTACGAAAGAAGACATATATGAGGCCAACAGTCATATGAAAAAATGCTCATCATCACTGGTCATCAGAGAGATACAAATCAAAACCACATTGAGATACCATCTCACGCCAGTTAGGATCATTAAAAAATCTGGAGACAACAGATGCTGGAGAAGATGTGGAGAAAAAGGAACACTTTTACACTGTTGGTGGGAGTGTAAATTAGTTCAACCATTGTGGAAGACAGTGTGGCGATTTCTCAAGGCCTTAGAAATAGAAATTCCATTTGACCCAGCAATCCCATTACTGGGTATATATCCAAAAGACTATAAATCGTTCTACTATAAGGACACATGTACATGAATGTTCATTGCAGCACTGTTTACAATAGCAAAGACCTGGAATCAACCCAAATGCCCATTGATAATAGACTGGATTGGAAAAATGTGGCACATATACACCATGGAATATTATGCAGCAATCAGAAATGATGAGTTCGTGTCGTTTGTAGGGACATGGATGAATCTGGAGAACATCATCCTCAGCAAACTGACACAAGAACAGAAAATGAAACACCGCATATTCTCACTCATAGGTGGGTGATGAAAAATGAGAACACATGGACACAGAAAGGGGGGGAGTACTAACACTGGGGTCTATTGGGGGGAAAAGGGGAGGGCCAGTGGGAGGGGGAGGTGGGGGGAATAGCCTGGGGAGAAATGCCAAATGTGGGTGAAGGGGAGAAGGAAAGCAAAGCACACTGCCATGTGTGTACCTATGCAACTGTCTTGCATGCTCTGCTCATGTACCCCAAAACCTAAAATCCAATAAAAAATTAAAAAAAAAAAAAGATAAACTTCTAAACTTCCCCCACTTCCCCAAAGCCCACAGGCCCTGGTCAACCCATTCTTCTTCCCTGCTCCCTTTTGTTCACTCCTCACTCTGCTCAAGCCACACGAACCTCCTTGCTGTTCCTCCAATATGCCACACGCTCCTGCCCCAGGGCCTTTGCATGGGCTGTGTCCTCTGTCCGGAAAGTGCTTACCCCCAAATACCTTCCTTCTCACACTAGTTACCCCTTTCCATTAAGATGTTGGCCCAGGCTGGGCATGGTGGCCCATGTTTATAATCCCAGCAATTTCAGGCTAAGGTAGGAGGATCACATGAGCCCAGAAGTGTTTGCTTTTGTTTTGCTTTTCATTTTGTTTGAGACAAAATATTGCTGTCTCCCAGGCAGGAGAGCAGTGGGTGATTTCACCCAACTGAAACCTTCACCTTCCAGGTTCAAGTGATTCGGCTGCCTCAGTCTTCTGAGTAACTGGGACCACAGGTGCCTGTCACCATGCCCAGGTTTTTTTTTGTTTGTTTGTTTTTGTTATATTTCTTTGTTTTCAGACAGAGTTTTACTCTCATTGCCCAGGTTCAAGTTCAGTGGCAGGATATTGGCTCACTGCAGCCTCTGCCTCCTAGGTTCAAGCGATCTTGCTGCCTAAGCCTTCCAAATTGCTGGGATTTCAGGCATGGGCCACCATACCCAGCTAATTTTGTGTATTTAGTAGAAACAGGATTTCTCCAGTTTGGTGCAATCTGGTCTCAAACTCCCAACCTCAGGTGATCCACTTGCCTCGGCCTCCCAAAGAGTGCTGGAATTACAGGTGTGAGCCACAAACCCCAACCAATATCTTTTTATTAAAATGTGAATTAGAGGATGAGGCAGGTTGATCCACTAGAGGTCTGTAGTTCCAGGCCAGCCTGGCCATTATGGTGAAATCCTGTCTCTACTATAATTACAAAAATTAGCCAGGCATTGTGGCTGGTGCCTGGAATACCAGCTACTCAGTAGGCTGAGCCACAAGAGTCACTTGAGTCTGGGAGGCAGAGGTTGCAGTGAGCTGAGATCATGCCACTGCACTCCCACCTGGGTTGCAGAGTGAGACCCCATTTCAAAAACCCAAAAACTAAAATTGGACTGTTTATTTTCCTGCTTCTTGATTTCCAATAACACTTATATTAAAAGATATATTGCTTAACATCCCCCACCTTCTCAAGGCTCGCAGGCCCTGCCCAACCTGTTCTCCTCACCTCCTCCCTCTCTCCCACTCCTTATTCTCCTCAAGCCACAGGGACCTCCTTGCTTTTCCTGCACTGCAATCCACCAGAAGCAGTCCTTCCCCAGGGACTTTGCATGGGCTGTGGCCTCTGTCTGAAAAGTGCTTACTTCCCAATACCTTCCTTCTCACACTGGTTACCTCTCCCCCCTTCTTTTGAGATAGAGTTTCGCTCTTGTTGCCCAGGCTGGAGTGCAATGGCATGATCTCTGCTCACCACAACCTCCACCTCTTGGGTTCAGGCAATTCTTCTACCTCAGCCTCCTGAGTAGCTGGGATTACAGGCACGCACCACCATGCCCAGCTAATATTTTGTATTTTAAGTAGAGACGGGGTTGCACCATGTTGACAAGGATTGACTTGATCTATTGACCTTGTGGTCCACCCACCTCGGCCTCCTAAAGTGCTGGGATTACAGGCATGAGCCACCGTGCCTGGTTACACTGGTATTTTTCCTAATCGTTGCTTAACACTTTCTCCCATGCAGCACATTTTCCTACTTCACTGTTCATTCTTTCTTCAATTACATTTTTATTCATTTCCTTTTTCCTTTTTTTACATTATTACTTTGTTACATTATTACATTTTTAATATGGTTTACTATCATTAGTCTTTTATTTTACTATAATTTGTTTATCTTACATAGGTGTGATCTCATTAGACTAACTTTTTAAAGTAGAACTGTATATTACTGACTTTTTGCATCTTTGTGTCTAACGTGATTTATAGAACTGTCCTTTTTTTTCATTAAAATATACTTAATCATGTTCTGGCCTCGCGTGGTGGCTCATGCCTGTAATTCTAGCATTTTGAGAGGCCAAAGCAGGTAGAGTACTTGAAGTGAGGAGATCAAGCCCAGCCTGGCCAAAATGGTGAAACCCTGTCTCTCCCAAAAATATAAAACTTAGCTGGGCGTGGTTGTGTGTGCCTGTAATTCCAGTTACCTGAGAGGCTGAGGCAGGAGAATCGCTGGAACCCAGGAGCTGGAAGTTGCAGTGAGCCGAGATTGTACCACTGCACTTTAAGTTTGGGTGATACAGCAAGACTCTGTTTCAATAAATAAATAAATAAATAAATAAATTAAACAGTCACCTTTCTACTCTGTTTCTATAGGATCAGCTTTTTGGATTCCACTTATGAGTTAGATCTTACAGTATTTGTCTTTCTGTGCCTGGCTTATTTCAATTGGCATAACATTCTTCAAGAATCTAAAAAAGTCAATCTCATAGAAACAGACAGTAAAAAGGAGGTTACCAGAGGTGGGGTGGGGAGGGTGGCTCAAGTGGACAGTGATAGGAAAAAGCTAGATCTTGATCAAAGGGTACAATTTTAGTAAAATTAAAGGAATAAGTCTTAGGAATCTATCACCTTGGATGGTGAGTACAGTTAATAATAATGTATTATATTTCAAAATGACTAGTAGATTTTTAATGTTCTCACCACAGAAAAGTGGTAAGTTAGTAAGGTGATGGATATTTGATTGAGTTTTTCTATGATGTATATACATAGATCAAAATGTTACACTAGACCCTATAAATATGTTTTAATTATTATTTGCCAATTAAAAATGAAGAAAATGCTAGGATAAAAAACTCATTAGTTTTATATAGGTAATTTTTAAAAATCATAAAGGCATAGCTCCCAATCTTGGCTATACCTTTGGGATCAGCTGGAAAATTTTAAACCCATAGCAATGCCTTGGTCCCATTCTCAGAGTAATTACATCAGAATCTTTGAGTATGGGGCATCAGTGGTTCTTTAAAACTCCCCAAATGATTCCAATATACAGCCAGAGTTGCAATCTACTGATACATGTAGTCTAGGCAAACTACAGGCTGTAGATGACTACCTCTTTTTGTAAATAAATGTTTATTGGAATATTGCCATAGCCATTCCTTTACATACATATGGATGCCTTCAGTCTACAAAGACAGAGCTGAGAAGTTGAAACAGAGACCATATAGCCTGGAAAGTCAAAATATTTACTACTTAGTGCTTTACATAGTCTATTGTTTTCTGAAAAATAAGGCAAAGTCCTGTTACATATCAAAAATATGAGGAAGAAAATAGAGACTGCTGATAACATTAATAAGAAGTAAAACTGTTTTTAAATAGCAAAATGTACATTGTAAATATATTCTCACCAAGGCTATCATTTAAAAAATAATTTCTGTATCTTCAGTTACTTACTTGAAAGAATAAATTGTTTCTCATACCTTAGAGAGTTTTCATGATGAAAATCTGGTCCTACAATTCTATATAGCAGAGGTGGCATGTTGTAAATTAGCATCCTCTCACCATCTTTTATTGTGTTTTCTTAATAAATCACAATATCTCTATCAGTTCAGTTCCTCACATTTCTATAGCAAAAACTAATGAGATAATAGACTATGTGTACCAGACTATCTAGGTAATAACTTCTTCATTTAGGGAGATCTGACCAATGTCTACAAAATGCTTAAGATTTTAATAAATAATCATATAAGATTTTTGCAAATTAACACATATTTAAGAAAACAATCAACAATTGATACCTTTATCTGAATATTTCTCTAAGTAATTAAGCTGAGTGCATTAGCTGAGAAATTTAGAATACACAGAAATTCAGGTTCAGAATAAAGCTATTATAAACCAAAAACAGTATTTAAACTGAAGCAATGTAATCTATAATTCTTAAAAATGAAAATGAATAAAATCATGTTCATATCTAAAAACAATTATTTAATACTTTAATTTTAATGGTTTAAAATATTTAAGATGTCAAGATATCAGTACTAATTAGAAAAAGCCCTTTTAAGATTGCAGAAATTGGCAAAATTTGAATACTGATTATAGGTTAGATATTAGTATTGTATCAATTTTAAATTTCCTGATTTTGGTAATTGTACTCAGATTATGTAATAGAATACTCTTCTTATTAGAAAATATACACTGAAATACTAGTGAAGTGTTTAGGCTTAAAGGGGTATGTATGATGGCTGCTACTTTCTCTTACTGGATCACAGGGAATATATATACATACGTGTGTATGTATGGTGTGTGTATGGGGTGTGTGTGTGTGCGTGTGTGTGTATAGATATGTATATATGTGAAGAGAGAGATACAATGATAAAGCAAAAGTAAATGTTAGTAATTGTTGAATATGGATAACGGGTATATGAGAGATCTCTCTACCATTCTTTTAACGTTTATGTAAGTTTGAAATTATTTCAATACAAAAGTTAACGGAAGTCCTTTTGAGATAGAAACTAGTAGTAAATGCAAAATATATTCATTGTTAAGTTAGTATTAGGTGACCAAAAGTAAAAGAAAACAAAATAAGTACAACCCAAGTGGAGCTCATTCTTCAATCAACAATAAATATCTCAGATAATTTTTTTTAATAATGAAATAATAAACAGGTATATTTATTAGGTTATGTGATTGCTTGAAAATTCTATGAACAAATAAATTTAAAGCTTCGTTAGGTTCTAACAGTTTCAGTAATTTTTATGGTCTTATTTCTAATATGGTATATTGCAAATTTATATAAATAAAATAGCCATAGACAACAAATTTATTGAATACTTAACTCATTGTAGAAATTAGTTTGATCTGTGGATCCATGGGGACAGGCTGTATTCTAAATGGATAATTCTTTTTAACAGAATAATCTTGAAGCAGAAAAACTAAACCAACTCGCAAAATTTTAAACCACTCAGGACACGGGGCATTCCACATAATCACCGACACCATGCCTGAACTGTCAGCAACCTCCAAACAGGTCTAGAAAAAAAGAGTAAAAGCATATACATATCTGTCACTTTTATGTATACAGATGGTATATAACATATTATCTGTGATCATTTAGGGTGATAGAAAATAACATTTAATTTTTAATTATTAATAATGATTCAGTTGTCAAATCTGCTAATATTGGTGATCTAAAGAAGAGACAGCCACCAGATCCATGGGAGTACTAAATGTGCTACTAAATTACTGTGTGAAGGAAGCTCTGAGGACACAGGCCAAATCTTATTTATATTTGATTCTTCCATAGTATTTAGCATGGTGCCTTAAAGAGTGATCCCACAACACATTTGTCAAATCAATGAGACAAATCGCATGTTACAAGTTTTACCTTAAAATTTTGACATCATTCTTGGTTATCTGAACTGTTAAATGGCTTTGATATTAATATTTGAGAACTTTAGATAAACATATAATTGAGTGGGCACAATGCCATCAATACCCTGGTTACATTAATTTATTTATAGCAATACACAAGGCTGGTACATAAGACATGGAAATAATTTCTGAGACATTATTTGAGAAATAATGCTATCAGAAAGGGGAATGTTAGAACAAATGTGCATTATTGCTGACTCTGAGTATAGTTAAAATACAGAAATCTGTTGAGGTAGAAAGTATCTGATGGAGTTTTTCTCGGTATTAAAATACAGTGACAACTTCAGCTCTGCCTAAAAGGCAATCATTAATGTGGTTTCTAATTCTTAATTTCTTCTTAAATAATGATGTTATTTTCTCAGACCCTTTCTCTTAATGAGAATATACATTTTGGGCAATTCATTTTTTATTCATTAAACATTTACTGGTTCTCTACTCCAGACATTATGTTAGGCACTGGAATGAAGAGATGAATCAAACGTCATTCCTAATAATAATGACTAAAATATATATAGGACTTATGTGCCTGGAACATAGGTAAATTCTTTACTTATATTAACTACTTCAATCCTCACATCAACCCTGTAAGGTAAGTACAATTAGTATCCATATTTTATAGATGACTAAACTGAGGCTTTAAAAGGATAAATTTCCCGATATCATAAAGCTAAGAAATGGTAAACAGAGCCAAAACCTGAATTCGGTTCATATGACTAGAGGAAGTGCACTCTTAAGCACTATAAAATACTTCTTCCCTACAGTCAGAGAGCTCACAGTAGAGTAAGGTTAGCAAATCTATTAACAGATATGTATAACTGGGTTATACATGCTCTATAATGGGGTCCTGAGTAGCATGTAGTTGATTCTCCTTAGTGACTAGGCATATGGGTATACATGGAAAGATTAAATCAGAGGTAGGCACTGAACTGAATCTTAAAGATGGCTTTGCCAATCTGATGATAATTGAAAGGAAGAGCATTCTAGGCAGAAGAAGTAACATAAGTAGAGGTATGAAAAGTAGAAAACAATTGATTACCATTAGAAAATTCCAGGTAGGGCACTTTGGTTATTATGGGGCATAGAAAGCTCAGGAAGAGATGAAACTGGAGAGGCAAGCAGGGACAAAATGATGAAGACACAAAGAGACAGGAAGGCAACAAGTAAGTGGAGTTTAAAAATTAGGGAAGAAAGTATTGCAACAGTGAGAAGGCAAACAAATATCAAGGAATGACTGAATAATTTATGATATCATTTGCTAAAACTTTATAACTGTAAAGTTATGAATGATGAATTTTTAGTGATAAGAGCAAATATTTAAGAAAATGTAAAATAATACAAAACTGTATTCAGAATATAGTTCCCATTTTTTAAGAGAACATCTCTCAGCAAACTGACACAATAACAGAAAATGAAATACTGCATGTTCTCACTCATGGGTGGGTGTTGAACAATGAGAACACATGGACACAGGGAGGGGAGCACTATACACTGGGGCCTGTTGGCTGGAATAGGGGAGAAACAGTGGGGGATAGGGAGTTGGGGAGAGATAGCATGGGGAGAAATGCCAGATATAGGTAAAGGGGAGGAAGGCAGAAAATCACACTGCCACGTGTGTACCTATGCAACTATCTTGCATGTTCTTCACATGTATCCCAAAACCTAAAATGTAATTTAAAAAAATAAATAATAAAATAAAAAAGAAAAATTACTGTAATATATAACATATATAGTTACATAAAATATATGATACCTGTACCTATGTACATATATGTTACATTTATGATATAAATATAATAGATATGTATATGTAAATCTAGTTTATGCTTATATATGTGTATATAAGTGATGTACACACACACACAAGAAAGGGAATAAAACACATGTTAACAGTGGCTCTCTCTGAGTAGTAAGATCTTCAAATAGCTTTCTACATTTTCCAAATTCCCTATAAGAAGCATGTATACTTTTGTAATGAAAGTTTAATGAAATATGTAAAATAGTTCTTGATATCATGGGAAAATACAGTATAATATTAAGAAAGAAAAAACAGAACACAAACATATCAAGGAAGTAGAGCTCACGAGCATTATGCAGTGTGGAGTCAAAACAATAGAAAAATATCACACAGATTTCACAGTTAGAGTTACTAGTGAATGATAAACTAAGGAAAAAAGCCAAAGTAATTGTGTTGAGAAATGGGAGGTAAGAAAGTAAAAACACCTAGTGTAGACTACTTCTTCAAGAAGCTTATCTGAAGAGAAAGAGATTGGGAATAAAAGAGTCATAAGACCAAGGCAGATTATTTTACTTTCTCTTTTAAATGGGAGGCTAGAGTATGTTTATATGGTGGTGCATAAAGCATAGCTGAGAAGAAAAAGTAAGTTTTAGGAAAATAAAAAGGTGGGAAGAAGACCACCTAGATCAGGAAAATAAAGGGCACCAATACAGAAATAATTTTGTATGTACAATAAATTATGCAGAAAAATACAACATATATTTATGTACATTTTAAAATTACATTGAAGTGACTTACGCTATTTAAACGAACAGGTTATCATACTATTAAGTGTGTAAGTTATAATTTATAACCTTAAATTCACATAGGATATTTTATCATTACTTGTACTTGATATGGTTCAGTCATCTTTTTATCAGGTTTCCCATAGTCTCACCATTTTGATTTATGTATGATCCTCATAAGCAATGCAGGAAAATTTCTTCTGTTAGCTCAGGTCATTTCAAGGTGAGAAAGGGAAATTATTTTGGTATCTAGAATGTAAAAAAGAGAAAAGAAATTCTGTTTTACTTGTAATGATAACTTCAAAGATCTATTTTAATAGTTAAAAATAGTAGCCAAATTATACCTAAAGCGAATCCTTCTTGCGCTAAACCCTGCCAACTAAGTCTATATACATTTCTCACATAAACTACATTTGATCCCTAATATTAACAGCTGAAATATGTATAAGGCTTACCATGTGTCTGGAACATAGGTAAACCTATATTAACTAACACATTGTTCCATCTAGAATGCCTTCCATCTTACCAAATCATTTAATAATTTCCTGGAAAACCTGGATCTAAACTCACCTCCCATAAGATATTTTGTGAAAAAACAGAGCTCAATGTCATGGAATGTTATTCCCATTACTAAGCACTTATATATTTAATTTATAGAATTAAGCCAAGCACGATGACTTACGCCTATAATTTCAGCACTTTGGGAGGCTGAGACCGGTGGCTTGCTTGAGCTCAGAAGTTCAAGATCAGTCTGGGCAACATGATGAAACCCCCTGTTTCTCCAAAAAGAGAAAAGTAGCTGGGTGTGGTGCATGTGCCTATAGCTCCAGCTACTCTAGAGGCTGAAGTGGGGTGATCACCTAGTCCAGGCATCTGAGCTCACTGCAGCAAGGCTGAAGTGAACTGTGCTCATTCCACTTCAGCCAGGCTGCAACGAGCCATGATCACACCACTGCATTTCAACCTGAGCGATTGAGAGCCTGTCTCAAAATCTATATCTGTATATATTTGTTTTATTACACTTTTTTGTATTGCCTCCACCTCAGTTTCATATGTATAAATTCCATCTCCCCAAAATATACCAGACATGAGCCTGTATCAGGACCTTTACACTTGTTGTCTTCCCCTTAGATATGCAAGTGACTTTCTCACTCCCCTCCAAGTTTTGCTCAAAGGTCACCTTCTCAGTGATATTATCCCTAACTATCCTATTAAAAACTGACCCCTTTACTTATCCTCCATTCCACTTTATTTTTCTAGATAGCACTTACTATTTTCTCATATGCCATATGATCTACTGAGAAACATTTTAATCTGCAAGCTCACTGACAAGTTGAAAAACTTCTTTAAACGTATTTATAAATAATTAATTTGTAATCCCGATGTAGTCTTCCTTGGATTAAGAGACGATCCATCTGCAACTGTCTCCACATTTTTCTTTCTCACAGCCCACAGTCTCAACTATTAAGACTTGAATTTGCATTATTACCAATATTTATTTTGCTAAGGCTCCCTTCATTTCTATCTCTCTTAACATAATGTTTTACCTAGTCAACGCTTTTGACAAGAAAATCACACTTGTAATTTCTTTTTAATAAGGATTTAAGTGGTATTATATAATTATGCCCATAACACAAAAAACACACACAATTTTTCTCTGTAACTTTTCTTTCAGATTCTCCCAATAAATTACTAGCCCAGAATCACAGATCCTAACATTCTATCTGATATAGTTTAGTGATTTTATTTTAATGTCAGATGAATCTCAGATGAGCTTTGAATTGTCTTGATCAATGGAGTACTCTTGATAAACGAAGACACGTACAGCTCCTTTATTGTCTGAAGTAAATTCAAGAGCAGCTACATAGTTTGTAAAACTAGAGTTCTAAGAGCCTCTGTTTCTGTTATAATAAGGTGCAGAGAGTTAGGTGTAATCAGATGTCTTTCTGGTTAACATTTTTCCCAGTTTAGGTTTTTAACTTACAAACTTCAGAGAATACATATTTTATCTCTCAAATCCAAAAAAGAATTAGAGGCTGTCTATAGACAAAAAAGAATTTGTTTAAATTTATAAAAATAAGCATGTTCACTATCAAAAAAGAAATAATAAAAATAAATAAACTGGATATTCAATATGCAATAGAACAGTGATTCTCAAAACGTTACGGTCTCAGAATCCCTATACATTCTTTAAAATTATTAAAGATCTTCAATAGCTTTTTTCTTTTGTTGAGTTGGAGTATCAATCTGTTTCTCAGGTGGAAGTGCAGTGGTATGATCTTGACTCACTGCAACCTCCACTTCCTGGATTCAAGCAATTCAGTCTCCCAAGTAGCTGAGACTACAGACGTGCACCACACCACTATGCTAGGCTAATTTTTGTATTTTTTAGTAGAGATGGGGTTTTACCATGGTGGCCAGGTTGGTCTCCAACTCCTGACCTCAAGTGATCTGCCTGCCTCAGTCTTTCAAAGTGTTGAGATTACAGGTGTGAGCCACTGCTCCCAGCCTGAAGAGCATTTTACTGCACTATAAAGCAAACTAAGAACTTTTTAAAATTATCAGTTCATTAAAAATAGCAATAATAAACTAATACGTATAATTACAAGTAACTTTTTTTTGGTAAAAATGTAAAAATGACAGTATTTTCCAAAATTAAAAAATAATGTAGTGAGAAGTGTGGTATTGTTTTACATTTTTGCAAACTTTGTTAGTACCTACCTTAATAGATGAAATTGGATTCCATCCAATTTTGCAGGTGGATACTCATATCTTCTTTGATATTTAGTTGGCTTCGGTGTCACATGTCATTTAGCCTCTGGAAAACTACACAGTATACTTGTGAGAGAATAAGGGTGAAAAAAGGTGAGTAAAGCCTTAGTATTGTGAAAATAGCTTTGACCTCATGGATCTTTTGAAAATGTCTTGGGGCACCACTAGAGGTCCCTGGACCATACTTAAAAATTATAGCAGAAGAGTAAATTTTAAAAATGAAGAAGGAATGAATATTAAAGCTAAAAATAATGAATCAGAAAACACTCTACCACAATTAAAAAAAACCCAACAGCACTGATAAATTCAATTCTCTGGAAAAATTAATGAAAAGTTAAATCTTTCACAAGTCTAATCATAAAAAAGAAAACAAAAATGTAATACTCAGAATGTAAACAACTATACACACAAAGAAAAATTATTTAAAAATTATTATATATGATTTTATATCAGTAAATTTTAAATATCAGTGACATAGTTAATCTCTTAGAAAAATATGAATTACCAGTATTGCCATAAGAAGCAAAAGAAAACTAAACTATGTTTTCACTCATGGAAGAAAATAAAAAAAGTTCACTAGGAGAGGCCTAAGATGGCGCTGTGAGAACAACCCAGGATTGGAGCTCTCGTTGAATCCGCAAACAGGTGAGTCGGAGTTGCATTTCCAGACTGACCTTTGTTGCCCACAGAACGGAGAAACTCCCAAGTATAAAAAAGACACGGGACGCCAGGCAGTAAGTCTGCCTGGAGAAGCCGGCAGCCAGGGCGGTGGCGGCCGGCCCTACCCAGCAATCCCCACAGGGCGCGCTTGTCTGGGTGCCCTGTTGAACCGGCAACCTGAGACTTGAGAGGGCTGGACTTGAGACTGAACAAGACTTGGACAGTAGGCCAGCCCAGGGGATTGCAGGGACAGAGCGTTTGGGGTACCCAGTAGGACGAACAAAACCGCGATTTCAAACTATCCCGAGCAGACGGTCCGAGACTCTCTGTGGGGGAGGGGCGTCCACCACTACCGAGGCAACCCGCTCCAACTGAGATACACGCCCACTGCTGACGCAGCCAGCCGTTGCCGAGGCAACCCGTCCCTACTGAGATACACGCCCACTGCAGACGCAGCCTCCCATTACCGAGGCAACCCGTCCCTACTGAGATACACGCCCACTGCTGATGCAGCCTGCCGCTGCCGAGGCAACACTCTACAATGAAGAGACTCCACCGCAGGGCATGGCGAAGACCACAGCAGAGCCTGCAGGAACAGGGCGAATCACACAACAGCAGGGCGGAGACTAGGCAGGCAAACAGTGGCTAGTCTGCCTCCTAGCTGGGCAGGACACCTCATGGACATCGAAAAATAAAGCCGAACCCCCCAACACTGAGCATTTGAGAAAAAAAGGTTTTTTTAAATGAGCTCTGTTGCAGCAGAATCAAACATAGCAGCCTAACAGCCCTGAATGAACAACAGAGCTCACAGCTCAGAAATAGAGCTCCTAAAAAGAACAGACTGTCTCCTCAAGCAGCTCCCTGACCCCTCTATATCCAAAAGACTGACATTAGGCAGGCATCATCCTGGGACAAAGATAGCAGAAAAAGAGAAACGGGTAGCATCCCTCACTGTGCCACAGCTGCTAGAGGTGCACCCCAGACAAGCAGGGCCTGGAGTGGACCTCAGCAGTCATACTGTGAAGGGGCTAGGCTGGTAGAAGGAAAACCAAGTAACAGAAATACTTCATCATCAACAATCTGGGTGTCCACTCAGAGACCCAATCGAAAAGTCAGCAACTACGCAGACGACAAGCGGATAAACCCACAAAGATGGGAAGAAACCAGCGAGAAAAGGAGGAAAACACCCAAAACCAGAACACCTCGCCTCCTAGAAAGGACAAAAATTCCTCACCAGCAAGGGAACAAAGCTGGACGGAGAATGACTGTGACGAAATGACGGAATTAGACTTCAGAAGGTGGATAATGAGAAATTTTGTGAGCAAAAAGAACACATATTAAATCAATGCAAAGAAACTAAGGTACTTAAAAAAAGATATGAGAAAATGATAACAAGAATGGATAACTTAGAGAGGAATATGAATGAATTAAAGGAGCTGAAAAACACAATAGGAGAACTTCGCGAAGCATGCACAAGTTTCAATAGCCGAATTGACTAAGCAAAAGAAAGAATATCTGAAGTCGAAGACCAACACAATGAAATTAAACGAGAAACCAAGATTAGAGAAAACAGAGCAAAAAGGAATGAACAAAGTCTCCAAGAAATGTGGGACTATGTGAACAGACCTAACCTACATTTGATAGGTGTACCAGAAGGGGACGAAGAGAATGAATCCAAGCTGGAAAATACGCTTCAGGACATCACCCAGGAAAACTTCCCACTCCTAGTAAGACAGGCCAACACTAAAATGCAGGAAATACAGAGAACACCACAAAGATATTCTGCAAGAAGAGCAACGCCAAGGCACATAATCGTCAGATTCAACAGGGTTGAAATAAAGGAGAAAACACTAAGGGCAGCCAGAGAGAAAGGTCGAGTTACCCACAAAGGGAAGCCCATCAGACTCACAGCAGATCTCTCGGCAGAAACACTACAAGCCAGAAGAGAGTGGGGGCCAATATTCAACATTCTTAAAGAAAAGAACTTTCAACCCAGAATTTCATATCCAGCCAAACTGAGCTTCAGAAGTGAAGGAAAAATAAAATCCTTTGCGAACAAGCAAGTACTCAGAGATTTTGTCACCACCAGGCCTGCTTTACAAGAGCTCCTAAAAGAGGCACTACACATAGAAAGGAACAACCAGTACCAGCCATTCAAAAATCACACTAAATGCTAAAGAGCATCAACATAATGAAGAATCTACAACAACTAACAGGCAAAACAGCCACTTAGCATCAAAATGGCAGTATCAAATTCACACATAACAATATTAACCCTAAATGTAAACGGACTAAATGCACCAATCAAGAGACACAGACTGGTAAATTGGATAAAAATCCAAAACCCATCAGTGTGCTGTATCCAGGAAACCCATCTCACATGCAAGGATACACAAAGGCTCAAAATAAAGGGATGGAGGAAGATTTATGGAGAGCAAAAAAAAAAAAGCAGGAGTTGCAATTCTCATCTCTGATAAAATAGACTTTAAAGCAACAAAGATCAAAAGAGACAAAGAAGGCCATTACATAATGGTAAAAGTATTGATAAAACAAGAAGAGCTAACGATCCTAAACATATCTAGACCCAATGCAGGAGCACCCAGATACATAAGGCAAGTTCTTAATGACTTACAAAGAGACTTAGACTCCCACACAATAATAGTGGGAGACTTTAACACTCCACTGTCAATATTAGACAGATCAACCAGACAGAAAATCAACAAGGATATCAGGGGCTTGAACTCAGACCTGGAGCAAGCAAACCTGATAGACATTTACAGAACTCTCCACCCCAAATCCACAGAATACACATTCTTCTCAGCACCACATCACACCTACTCTAAAATTGACCACATAATTGGAAGTAAAGCACTGCTCAACAAATGCAAAACAACTGAAATCATAACCAACAGCCTCTCAGACCATGACCATAGTGCAATCAAGTTAGAACTCAGAATACAGAAACCGACTCAGAACCGCACAGCTTCATGGAAACTGAACAACTGGCTCTTGAATGTTTACTGGGTAAACAATGAAATGAAGTCAGAAATAAAGAAGTTCTTTGAAACCAATGAGAACGAAGACACAACATGCCAGAACCTCTGGGACACATTTAAAGCAGTCTCTAGAGGAAAGTATATAGCAATAAGAGCCCATATGAGGAGAATGGAGAGTTCCAAAATTGACACCCTATCCTCAAAATTGAAAGAGCTAGAGGAGCAAGATCAAAAAATCTCAAAAATCCAGCAGAAGACAAGAAATAACTAAGATCAGAGCTGAACTGAAGGAGATTGAGACACAAAAAATTCTTCAAAAAATCAATAAATCCAAGAGCTGGTTTTTTGAAAAGATCAACAAAATAAACAGGCCACTAGCCAGATTGATTAAAAATAAAAGAGAGAACAACCAAATAGATGCAATAAAAAATGAGATAAAGGGGAAATCACCACAGATTCCACAGAAATTCAAACCATCATCAGAGAATATTACAAACAACTACATGCACATAAACTAGTAAACCTGGAATAAATGGATAAATTCCTGAACTCCTGCATCCTCCCAAGCCTAAACCAGGAGGAAGCTGAAACTATGAATAGACCAATACCAAGGGCAGAAGTCGAGGCAGCAATTAAGAGCCAACCACACAAAAAAAGCCCAGGTCCAGACGGGTTCGCAGCCGAATTCTACCAGACACACAAAGAGGAGCTGGTACCATTCCTTTTAAAACTATTTCAAACAATCCAAAAAGAGGGAATACTTCCCAAATCATTTTATGAGACCAACATCATCCTGATACCAAAACCCGGCAGAGACCCAACAAGAAAAGAAAACTTCAGGCCAATATCCATGATGAACATAGATGCAAAAATCTTCAATAAAATATTGGCAAGCCGAATGCAACAGGAAATCAAAAAACTTATTCACCATGATCAAGTAGGATTCATCCCGGGGATGCAAGGCTGGTTCAACATACACAAGTCTATCAACGTAATTCACCACATAAACAGAACCAAAAACAAAACCACATGATTATCTCAATTGACGCAGAGAAGGCATTTGACAAAATTCAACAGCCCTTTATGCTAAAAACCCTCAATAAACTCGGTATCGAGGGAACGTATCTCAAAGTAATAAAAGCTATTTATGACAAACCAACAGCCAATATCATACTGAATGGGCAAAAACTGGAAGCATTCCCTTTGAAGTCTGGCACTAGACAAGGATGCCCTCTTTCACCACTCCTATTCAATATAGTTCTGGAAGTTCTAGCCAGAGCAATCAGGCAAGAAAAAGAAATAAAGCGTATTCAAATAGGAAAGGTGGAAGCCAAATTGTCTCTATTTGCAGACGACATGATAGTATACCTAGAAGACCCCATCACCTCAGCCCAAAAACTCCTGAAACTGATAAGCAACTTCAGCAAAGTCTCAGGATATAAAATCAATGTGCAAAAATCACAAGCATTCGTCTACACCAATAACAGACTTAAAGAAGGCCAAATCAAGAACGAACTGCTATTCGCAATTGCTACAAAAAGAATAAAATACCTTGGAATACAACTCACAAGGA